CAAAATGTTGACCTCTGCAAATTTGGGAAGACTTCAAGAAACAACATAACTGCAGGGAAAAAATGTGCAGGGCAGCAGAATAAAGCTGTGTCTGGCCTTTAAAAGCTGACTCCCGTAAGCCTACGCAGCTCCGCTTCCCTCCAGACTCCTCAATGCCTCCCTTGCTGCTTCTACAAGCCTCACAAAGCAACAAACCCAACACCAAAATGAGTTTCAGACTGGTACATGCACTACAATTTATCCCAAAACTCTACCATTCATGAGTCACTGTAAATACACATGTAGACACAGATGCCCCCCCTCCCATTTGTCAGCATCCCAAAATACAAATGAGAAATAGCTGCTGAGCTGGATTGGCTCACCATATTTCTGCCAACTTAAAAAAAAAAATAATTAAAAAATAAAAAGTTCAGGGAGGGAGTTCAACAGAACGAGTCAAAATTCATCAGTCACACACAAACTGCATGTTATGAATGTATTTGAAGTTTTCCATGCAGTCTCTGGGTCACGCATTTTAACCGCACAAACTGCTCCCTGGAACCTTCAAATAATCAGCATTGTGGGTGTTTTCTGCTTGCTAACTGCACTGCCCACGAGCCACGTTTTGCTTTGTAAAGTTACAGAAGAGCCCTCACGCTTTTGTAAGTGATATTTAGAGAACTTCTGTGAAAAAGTGATGCAGATTTCATCAATGAAAAGTTTAAGAGTTGCAAAAAGAATATAATAAACAATCACAGCCTTCTAATGAGATTTTTCTTGGTCAGACATACCCCACACATTTCCAGACATGACTAAACTCCAAGATTCCCATTTCCAATTAACACATGCGTGTTACTCAGTGAGCCCTCCCCCCCAAAGCCACTCAGCATGAGATTACTGCAGAATCTGATGGCCTTTAGTAGAATATCTGGCCTAGCTCCAGCTCCACCAGCCTCCATGCTTATTTTTATAGGCACAGCTTTGCGCTCTGGTATGCAACCCAACACCCAAGTCCATTAAACTTTCCATCAAATACACATGGAATTGAACAACAGGTAACCAAGCTGTAGTCTGTCCTCTAACTGTCTGGAGTACACTTATTGCTCTGTTTGCACCATGGCATGAAACTTTGCTATTTTTCTTGAAGGGTTTACAGTGACTATACCCAGGATGGTACAAGAGGGCTGTCAGGAGATCCAGCTCTCAATGCTCTCACAAAAAGGAGCTCCTACAGAGAAGATCTGGAATTTCAAAGGGGTAAATGGACCTGGCATTAGGATCTCCAACATCAAACATCCAGCATCAAACATTACTACTGTGAAAGAGACTGGAAAAGACAAAAATTGTATTTTCTTCCATTGGAACAAGCCTTGTCATCTTTGACTACAGGGAGAGACTTGGCACTGTTCACTGATGGCTCGATCTGACTCTCACATCTCATTGAATGGCTTGGGTTGGAACGGACCTTCAAAGGTCACCTAGTACAACCCCTTGCAATGAGCAGGGCCATCTTTAACAGAGCCCTGTCCAACCTGACATTGAATGTTTCCAGGGATGGGGCATCTAGCATCTCTCTGGGTAACCTGTTCCAGTGTTTTGCCAGCCTGATTGTAAAAGTTTCTTCCTTGTATCTAGTCTAAATCCACCTCCTTTTAGTTTAAAACTATTACCTATCATACTATTACCTATTACTGAAAAGTTTGTCCCCATCTTTCTTATAAGCCCCCTTTGTTGGTTTACCTATAAAGACAGGCTACACATATATGCAATGTCTGGCCAACGTTACAGCATTTTCAAAGCTAACAGAACTCATTCCTCACATCAAACCCTTTTGAAGGTTATAACTGCAACTCCATTTTAAAACTAACATATGTAGCACAGATATGGCTAGCAGTCTACAGGAAACTGCTTAGAATTTGATGTTGAGTAAGCCCTGGTTTACTGCTGTAGAAACATTTCAATTCATTCATATGGCTTCAGTTTGATGCAGTTTTTTTAAACTTTGACACAACTTCTGGCAATGCCTACCATGGAGCATCGACATAAGAACTGAACTTAACCCAACAACTGAGCCGTAAAAAGACAAACCCATTCCTACTGCTCTTGGAAAGCATCCTGAGAGGTCAGCTTGTGTGTGTAGCTTGTTAGAGCTGAAGAAATCTGCAGTCTTTGTTACACACCAACAGTAGCACTTTAACAGTCCAATCTGGTTGCCCCAAGATAGCATTGAAACTATGAATTTTACACAGTAAAACAAACGTTACTTCCAAATGGAACAAAGGCTTTATTGTGCCCATCTGAGTCTAGAAACAGAAAGTGTAGTTTTCATGAGTAAAGTCTGGGGAGAAAGAGGGGGTTGCAATAAGGAGAAGAGTTTGCAGTTGAAAATTAACGTGGTTGTTACTGTGAGCACCATTCCAACTTTAAAAAAGTCTTCTAAAATACACAACAGTGGCGTGAAATTTGCAGGGCAGCAGAACTCAGCTAGTAGGAAAAGGAGATAATGTTCCTCAAGTGATTTAGTAAATAACACCACGCAGGATCACAAACTAGCATCATGTGGCACAGACATAAACATTTCTTTCCACCATTGATGTAGTGAATGCTTTCATACTTGGAAAGATTGACAATATTTTGCCTTCATAGTGTGGATTCACAACCAGTACTTGAAAGACCTTAAAAAAAAACCCAAATGAACAACTCCTGATCAAAAAACCTTGGAGATAAAAAGGGTAAATGATGATGCAACAAACTACACCAGAATGATTTAGGAAAAAAAGAAAAGAAAAAGAAACTAACCAAAAACTATACCACAAAAAAAACCTCCTTTGGTTCTGGCAACAGTTCACACCTCTCAAAAGAGCACATTTAAGTACTAGGCTTTCCCACCTGCAAGGCAGAGGATCTTACACTGCAAAAGAAGTGTGACACCTGGTATCACCTGCCAAAGCACATAATGCAGCTAATTACACTGCATGTCAGTGCCAGGCCCAGCTGAATCAGAACCAGGGGGGAATAACATGCTTCACTGTCACTGTCTCAAACAACTGTGTGTTTCAACATGGCTGTCAGCCTAGCGCTTAATAACAGATAAAAATAAACCAGATTAGCCATTTGTCATTCAAACTGATTTATTTCAAGAAAAAGCTATCCAGCCTAAATTAAATAGAAACATGTAACTAAATACTTTGCAATCCATAGTAATTTACAATGGGAAAAAAACAAAACAAAACACCATAAGAAATCTACTCCCGCATGACTTACACCAATATTTCTAAGAGACTGTGTAGTCTAGTGTAACCTCACAAAATAGGTTTGTATCCTTAATGATTTAAACAGAACTTTCAAATATGACCCAAAGAGTGGGCAAGGTAGAGATTGTCTTCTTCAATCTCTGGGCAAATACTTCCCTTTCCTTTTCTTCTCCTTCATATTTTCTTGAAGTGAAGTGGAATGAGATGATTCAGTAACACTCACTTTTACTGTAGGTATCAGGAATATAGTTAACCCTAAAACTGGGGTTAATCATACAAGCCACTGACTAAAGAAACCCTCTGAATCGAAGAACAGGCAGCCACTGCAGCTGTTGACAATGGAAAATTTGCCAAAAGCAAGACAAAAGAGCAGCAGGGGACCCTCGTATCTACCTGCCTGTATGAACATCCAGGGGCTATCAAGAGGGACCAGACCACATCTTCAAGCCACAAGGAAAATCGAAGCCACAAATGTTTGGAAATGTAACTCTCACAGGTACCAATATGTTGGGGTTTTAACCGCTATGGAAGCGAACTTTACAAATACAGATCATTTTGGTTTCTTCTCCAACAAGGTTTTAAGGGATACTGAGAGTCTTTGTCTTATTTTAAATTGGCAGCCCAAACTTAAGGAGGTGGAGGTTATACAATAGCTGATAGACGTAACTCCACATTTCCAAGCTAATGCCTACAGAAAAGAGAACATTACTCTAGCAGAAAGACACAGCAAACCATGAATAGCAGAAGTACAAAAGCACAGACTATAACTAAGGGACAGAAGTAGTAAACAAAAATGACACAGTCCTCCCATACTGGAAGATGGAAAAGTAGAATGAAGCCACGAAGGTTCAAATGCTTAGCATGAAGGAAAAATACAGACACAATGAAAATTAAAAGGGGGGGGGGGAGGGCTAAGTTATAATTAAGTACAGAACACATGTATTTGATTGTACTAAGCTGCAGACAATCATTTGCAGATCGTAGCTATGGTTTGGCTTAACTATTTCAACTTTACTCTTAAAAGACTTATCTTTCACCAGCAGTCTTGGAAGTCTACAAATCATCAAGTTCTCACAGCCTCAGCAGTACAACAGATGCAATACTGAGGACATTTTAACAAAAATGGAACAAAGAGGAAGCAGGAAATGAAAGGCTTCACTGGAATTAGTTTGTCTCTTCATCCCCTGCGTGTTTCAACTGTCAGTTCACAACATCTCTCCTACTTATCATCACTCCTAGATTAATATGCCTGAAGATTTTGATTACTTCCACATATAGCCAAAATCACTGTTTCTACTTTAAAGTCCAACCATTCTAATAAACACTTTTTTTTTCTGCAAGTCCAAGATAGCAGGCAATTTATAAGCTAGCCTAAGCATATTCCAAGCATGTATTGTTTCATCATCAACCTGCTCTAACATCCTGGCAGTGCCTTCCCTGTAAAGTGAATTATTTGTAACTGTGATGTCCCCTGACAATAGGACTATCAAAGTTACTGTCATCATCAGCTCTGGAACTGTTTTTTTATGAAAATCAGAGGTGCACCACATTGTGCAAGGGGAAAAAGAAAAAATATCCCAGATAGAAAAGATCAAATGCAAACAATACAGTACAGGAAAGACTGCAGCAAAAGAAAGGTTAAAAATGTCCCTAATATAATAGATTATGTTCAGACATTCAGTCTATGTGTATCCTTATAAACAAACACATATTTTAATAATTACAACATAGCTGCTCACAGGATGCTATTTGTTAACATATACTTACATATACTTCATTGTGGTCAAAGCGCTTTTTCAGATTATTGATGAACGAATCTTCATTAAGCGGCTCTAAAAGAACCATATCTCCCACCCCTATCATGTCATCTAAAAGTGACATTTTGACCTCCATTTTGGCCATTTTCTCCTGCAAAGAAAGAAACAAGAAAAAGACAAAGAGTGAAGTTAGCTCAAAATTATTCTAATTATTCACAGGCATTATCCAGTAACACTATTTGAAGAATACAAGTGAAAAACCCATTGAATGACACTACTTTGAAACCATTTTTCCAAGGAACATTCTCAAAGTCATTCAGTCTACCCAGATAGTACACAAAATTCCAAAACTTTAACTTCTAAGAGTCAACAATGCCTTCTAGTCCATTATACATTAAATATGAAACTGCAAGAAAAAGGAATGAAGATTCCAGTGGGCACCACATCCAGATTTTTTGGACTACATCATTACAGTGTTCAAGTGTACACAAACCCAAGTTTTATCAAGAGCTGCATCAACATCTCCAGTTTATCAAATTAGGGTTTAAATTTCTCAATGCCCTAATCTGAATTTCTTTCTCACCCTTACTTGCTTTTCTTCAACTCTATCAAGTTTTACACGGAAACCAAGTGAACCCACTCAGAGACAAAAACCACACTCTTTTATCGTAATTCATAAACCCTGTACACTAGGAGTGCCTATATTCCAGTACACTACTGCTCTTGGTTATGCAAGGCTATCAAATGACTTCATTTCCTAACCAGACACAATTAAGTTGTGGATTTATTTTTAATTTTATTGCTTAAGGGAGCATTTTTGTTGGGCAGCAACAATCCAGTGACAAGTGGAGACTCTGCATCACTATAACTGGAGTTGCAAAAAGGAAGCTGGGCTTAAACAGGGGACCAGGATCAAACAAAGGCACCAAGTAATTCAGACAAAGAAGTCAAGGTCAGGCCAAAACTTAACACCTATTTGATCCTCCCAGCCTTTTATCCTCCCAATACAAAGGCTAGGGACGATTAACAAAGCTCCTCAAGAACTCCAGGCACACAGTTACTGCTTTCAGCTTTCACGAGAAGACTGAAAAATGGCTGTACTAGCACTGCTGGCCTGCAAACGGGGAACCACAGATGAGAGAACAACTTTGCTGACAACAAAAACCAAGAACCAGCTACCGCACAGCTACACAGAACAACAGCAGAACTTCACAGGTCAGCTGCAACCTCCCAGCTATGAAATGCTATCAGGCTGTCCCCTCTCCCCCTATCACTGCAGCATTATTTTAATTCTAAATATTTGTTCTTGTTTCTCAAAGCGCCGTAAAAATACCTCACACAATCAGCCTTAACTTGCCATAGTAGCTACCCATCACATAACTAATTTTAACCAAGCAAAGCCTTTTATCTTTCGCTTCTGTCCACAGCCACCGCTTTACTACATGCTATTTCATTTTTTGAGCAGTGAGTGGCATTTGAGAGATATGAGGTCAAGACTTAAGTTGTGTTTGATGTTTTTCCAAATTCAACGAAGAGAAACACAGCTCCACAGGCAGCTAATGGAAGTGATACAACAAGACCCCCCAAACCTGAACCAAGCCTGGGAATTACTAGAAATTCACATGGAAATGCAAAAACAGTGCTGAACTCTGGTAACCAACCAAAGCTGAGTCAACTCTGCTAAACAAACAAGGGAGCTTTTATTTTAAACAAAAACACTGGACAAATATTTTTTGTAGAAAAAGATACTTTTATTCTTAAAAGTTCACAAAAAATATTTTAAGCATTCACAAAATCTTTTCAGAGGTATCTTCAACTTCTGCATCCCATTAAGACACATGCTTTAAACTATCGGTCTTGTTTCAATGACCTAATTACTTCCTATACACCAACTAATGCTCAAAAAATTTTTGAATGCTCCTTCTTAAGTATGGAACTTATTAAATTTTGGGTTTGTAGCCAAAAACAAACAAAAAAGAGACAACATAAAAATCCTAATATGGGCAATTTCAGCCTAAAATTTAAGTTCTAACTCATCTACCACTGTGAAATTACATACCACCTACCACACTTCATGCATCACTGCTTGGGAATTTCAAGAGCAAGAGCAGCCAAACCCATAAAGAGCATACACTTATTCCAAAAATCAGAGGCATATTTTGCAGAAAAGGTGCACAAAGACACTATAGCTACTACTAAAAGCTGGATCAGAAAGTTGTATACAAATATTAATTTACCAATACATTTGAAAAGTTCCATTTTATGCTCAAAGGTTAATTTTCAACTTGCTTTTTCCCACAATAACTTAACATCATACTATGGTTGAAATATTTCCATTAACTTGCAAGCTAGAAAATATTAGAAACATAGCTCACAATATGCCTAGACACCTCATTTAACACTGATATTTGCAATAGCTTAGCCATTACAAAATATTCATTAAAGACTGTCTCATACACTGACGCACGATTTAAGAGTATTCTGCCATACCAATGTTGTTAGCCCCCACTTTGTGCTATGAATGCAATCATAAACCCCGCTCTGTCTTAGCAAACAGAAAAGGGAAATCCAGCAAACTTGTGGGATAATTTGATGGTCTATCTGAGATAAGAAGTGGGGAAAAAAGCACTGTTAAGAAAAGCCAACCATGTTTAAACATACATTAAGCAACTAGATGTAATTTAATCAATAATAGAATTTCATCTCTTAGAAGTATTATTAGATGAATACATACAGCACTTTCAAAACAGCAAATAACAATTATTAAAAGTAGCTGCTAAAAAAAACTCAAAAAACAGCACTACCAGAAAAAAAATAAAAAACAAACCTTTGCTACATTGCAAGATTAAACTTTAGTCAAGATTTCAGCAATATGCCACTAAGCTCAGAAACTGAATCCAAATCCATGTCCAAGTATTTGTATTTGCCATATACTCAAGGATGCCTTGCAGCTGAAAATCCTTTCCCACCAATGCTGGTGACAACGTGATCACCACCATTTGGAGAGTAAGACATAAAAGTAAGTGGCTTCTACCTATGCTTGTATCCATGCACCTTTAAAAAGATGAATGTTTCTCAAGAATCATTTCAAGAACCAGAAGTATGAGAGGAATGGGACCAAAACACGCTCTCAGTGCATTAGAGATCAGTAAGGATTGAAACCACAGCTGTGCTGGTGAGAGAGCAAACACTGGCAAACAGGAAATTAGGTTCCAGGAAAGAACCAGAACGGGCTGTGTCCTTTAAAACAAGGACAACTTTAGTGATTTTCAAACAAAGACTGCTGAATAGGGGAAGGTGGATGGAAGTACTGCTGTTAGGCTCCATTTGTAATTTCAAACTGGAAAGTCAATAAAGAATAGCCTCAAAATATAAGCAGTACTCCCCCGATTTACCTACTACCTTGCTCTTGTGACTGCAATGTCTCATTCTGTTGACATCAAGGAAAACGAGTGTTGTATGAAGATTGCAGCTGCAAATTATTAATATAGCAACAAATTAGCTCAGCAAAAATCCCAAAATTCTTGTAACACTTGCAGTCTGCCAGTCATATTCTTCCTCAAACATTCCCTGATCTCTTCCACACCCACTTAAGTCTTCTCCCACATTTACCCTTCTTATCCCCAGAGCAAACATCGGCAGCATTTCAGAACATCTCCCTGCTCTCCATTTGTCAAATCTGTTCTTCCTCACTTTGGTCTCCTATCTAGGCATTAATTCAATGGAGTGAGAAAACTTTCAACACATTTCCGTTCCCAGAAAAATGAAAACATATTATTCAGCAATCTTTCACAGCTTGATCTGTTTTTATGTTGGACAACATGCTCGGGAGGAGCATGCTAAGTCTGTAAAATGCTTTTATCCACACGCTCCCACACTACACATAGCATTTTGAAACACAGACAGTTGTATCTACTACTTGCAAGGCCTGCGATTGCCATTCAGATAGGTCAGCTAAATCTAAGACTTTCTTGTCTCTCTTAGCCACAAGGATGACAAATTAACAATTCCACTATTCCACAGCCAGAGCAGCCTCACCATTGGCCAACCTGAAACGAGCTAACAAAAACTATAAATAGAAGATGATACAGAGAACAGTCAAAACCCCAAAAGCCTTGTACAATTAAGTTCCCACATTCTCTAAGCGGGAAATGAAGTAATACCCCATTACTGGCATACAGCATGTTAGAGAATTGTCCAAGGTTTTCCACAACAGCCTCATACAGTAAAACAGCAACAACTGTCAGCATCTTCCTACAGATGTGCAGTCCTTAGCACACGTTTGCATTTGCTGCATTGGAATTACCATTCACTGCAGAGGTAGCTTGTTTTTCTTTTGTGGCACTGTAGCAAAACGGCAATTTCCCTACCATCAAAATTGACACAACAGATGTACCCAATATATGCTTCTAGCTTTGACTATTAAAAACAAACAAACAAACAAACAAACCTTTTGCTTCACTACCACAAACTCATTGTAGAAAATAACCACCTTTTTCTTTGCTAAGATTTCACGGGCAACCTGCACTATCAGTAAATCAATAGCAGAGTTCAAACTGATTCCATGCTCCAGCTCTGATCCCAAACCCCCGACAGGCTGCAATTACACTTGCCCACTCACTCCCTTTTTTCTCTGTCAGGGAGCAATCAACCCACACAGAGCGGAGACACTGTCAGGCCACTGCTGCAAAAAAGCAGCTACGAAGGGCCTGTCATTACATGAACCAAACAAAAGCAAAAGGGACTACAGCCATCCTGTACCACTTATGACAAGCCTTAGTACAAATTTAACAAGAAGCAGGGTTTAGAGTCATCCTCTTCTGCTGCCTAGTGACCTCCACACATCTCTGGCCTCTGACTGATGCACAGAAGGTGCAAGTTCATTGGGAACATTTGTGCAGCTGAACTATTACAGTGCTGAACTGTTACACATGGCTAGATTTCCCTACATCAGCACGTATGAAAAAAACACTGATACCATCCAAAGGAAATCTTTGCTTTCCCTCCAGACCCCCTAACATTTTAGTCTTCGGATGCTACAGGGGAGCAATGTACCTGGCATTTCCTATCTGCTGCCTGTTAGGAACACCTGCACCCTCCTCCTGCCCAGCTCACAGAAGTTGCTCTGCCACCATAAACATGGCGAAGAAA